AACAACTTTAGGACCATTACTTTGAACTCTTTATCAGGTAGATTGCTTATATCCATTTCATGAAGGTCTTTTTCTAAGTTTTTTCATGGTCTTTTGTTTGGAATATATCCCTCTGTTTCCTCACTTTGCCAGACTTTTAGTATTTGTTTCTATGTATTAGGCAAATCAGCTATCTCTCCCTAGAGAAAAAAAATATTTTGCTGCTGTTGAATAAAATGTTGTATATATGTCTGTTAGGTCTGTGTGATCTAAAGTGTACTCCAATTCCATTATTTCTGTATTCATTTTCTGTCTAGATGATGTAGTCATTGTTGAAAGTGGGATATGTAAGTGCTTGTTATTGCATTGCTGTTTTTTCTGCCTTCAGATCTATTAATTGTTATTTAATCTATTTAGGTGCTGTAATATTGGATGCATGTATATTTATAATTATTATATTCTCTTATTAAAAAGATTTTATTCTTGGAGAGAGGGGAAGGAAGGGAGAAGGAGAGGGAGAGAAACACTGGTGTGTGAGAGGAACATTGATCACCCACCTCTTGCACATATCCTGACCTGCCTGGGACTGGGCTGGCAACCGAGGCATGTGCCCTGACCATGAACCGAACCAGCAACCTTTCACTTTGTGGGATAATGCCCATCCAACTGAGCAACACTGGTGAGGGCCATAATTAGTATATCTTCTAATAAATAGACCCCTTTCTCATTATAGAATGACCTTTGTCTCTTGTTACAGCTTTTGTTTTAAGGTCTATTTTGTCTAATATAAATATAGCTACTTCTGCTCTATTTTGGATTTCATTTCAAGGAATATCTCTTATATCCCTTCACTTTGAAGCTATGAGTATCCTTGAAGCTTAGAGTCTCTTGTAGGCAGCATATCATTGGGTCTTTTCTTTTGTTAGTTCATTCAACTACTGTACATCTTTTAATTGGAGAATTCAAACCATTTATATTTGAGTAATTATGGATACGTAAGGACATATTTTCACCATTCCGTTGCCTGTTTTCTGATTGTTCTTTTTTCCCCTTTCCTCTTAGTCTTTCTTTGTAGTTGATGATTTTCTTTTGGTGGTGGTATGCTTTAATTCTTTTCCTTTTATCATTTGTGTATCTATTATTGGTGTTTCTTTGTGGTTACTATGAGGCTTATATAAAACATTTCCATATTTATGACAGTTTATTTTAAGCTAATAATACCTTAATTTTATTTGCATGAAAACATTCTACACATTTACTTCCCTCCCTTATGTTATTGATGGCCCTATTTACATATTTTTATATTGTGTTACATTAACAAAATATTGTGGCTATGGTTATTTTCAACAGTTCCATCTTTTAATTTACATGCTAGAGTTCAATATGACTTACATATCCTTTAACTCCAGAATATGTTTGGTTCTTTTCTGTGATTCCTATATCATTTATGCATTGTCTTCCTGAGTTCATTGAATTGTCTATGTTCCCTTGAATTTTACTTGCTTTAAAACAATTAGGATTTTTTTATTATGCAAATTTCTACTTCTTTAGGATCAGTTACTAGGAAATTATTGTGTTCCTTTGGTAGTGTCATGCTTTGATGTCCTTTGTCTACCAGTTCTATTATCTATACCATTCTGGGTTCATTTCAATGGATTAACTTTCTTATTATGAATTATATTTTCCTGCTTCTTTGCATGCCTGGTAATTTTTTATTGAATGCCACATATTGTGGATTATATTGAATATATTGTGGGGGGTAAGATATTGTTGTATCCCTATAAATATTTCTTGAACTTTGTTCTGAGTCAGTTCTGTTACTTGCAAATAGTTGATCCTTTGGGTCTTGCTTTGAAGATTGGTTAAGGCGAGGTCAGAACAGCATTTAGTCTATGGCTAATTTTTCCCCACAATGGAAGCACCCCTTCTAAATCGAGTACCTGGTTTCCCATGAACTAGAAAATTTTCCGCTGCTGCTGGTTGGGACGAACACTGCGCAGGTCTCTGTGTGAGTCCCAGGACGGTGCTCTTCAGTCCCTTCAGGCGTTTCCTCTCCTAGCCTCGTCTAGTTTCCTCGCCCGCGTTTATCAGTTTTCAGCTGAATATTCAAGGAGATTATCTTCGGATCTCCAGAATTCTCTCTCTGTGCAGTTCTCTCCTCTCCAATAGGCTTTCCTATGAATTGCAAGTGCCTCGGGCTCCATGGACGCCCAGGTCCATCTCCTCAATCTGGGGACAGTTCTTGCCTCTGCTTTTAATCCCCCTCCCTGCACCATAGGCCAGAAACTTTCTTCCAGCAGTAAGCTGTAGTTCCTTTGTTTCCTGTCTCTTTGGGATCACTTTCCCTTGTTGCCTGATGTTCCATGTATGTAGAGCCATTGTTTCATATATTTTATCCTGTTTATAGTTATCTGAGATGGGCAAGTAAATCCAGTCAGAAGCGAAAGTTCTGTCTGCCTGGATTCTTTTAACAGTAGGAGAGCGTATATATTAGGGCCCCTTTGAAAATAAAATCATTATCCAAATGTATGATAATTTTGATAGTTCTTCTCTTAGTAAGTCAAGAGTATATCAGTTACCTATTATGTGTATGTATACTTCCCAGGGATATGTATATAAATCTTCTAGGCACTGAGTACACGAATCAATACTTTATACAACAGAGTACTGGTTCCATCTGAAATGGACATGCAGCATCCCCACCGTTACTGTACCCTTGTCACCTTGGCTGGAGTCACACAAAGCAGGTTGAATTTGGCATCTTCATCATCACTGTACCTGTTTTCAGAGTTCTTATCTTACTACATAGTAGCTCATGTTCCCAAGATTTGGGAGCCCCTGGAGTGGCTATTTTTGGTATATATCCCCAATTCTGTCTTCAGTTAACCTTTTTATTCCCCCTCTAGGGAGCCTTGCCTATACCAGGCCTCTTAATTTTTTTTGTTAACTTAAATTAACAATAAAGAGGACAAAAGAAGACTAACCAGGGTGCCAATAATCTGTAGTAATATCTGTGATTTATTGAGCCTCTACCATGTGCCAGATATTCTATATATTTTCTCTAATTCTAATAAAACAACCAACCATGAGAGAGGCCCTAGGGACTAAGAGAAGGCTTTGGAGAAGGAGAGCTTTCTCAGTTCAGTCACGAAGGATGCGGAGGAGTTGGGTGAGATGAGGCATGGAAGGGGGGGTCAGGTAGGTGTTGCAGGTAGTGGGACGAGCATATGAAAATGTGCAGGAACAGAATGTGCCACTAATTTGAGGAACTTAGTTCAGTGACGCTGAAGGACTAGGAAGTGGAAAAGGGTGGAGAAGATAGGGGGAGGGGTAGGAGATGGGGAAACATGAAACTAGAGATATAGAATAGACTGTGAAGGACTCTGTGAATGGTAGTAAGAGGTTTGGCCTTTTTTCCCGAGTTCAGTGGGAAATTCTCATTGAACTTTTGGTGTATTATAGTGAGGCAAATGGATTGAAAGGGTAAACATGAGTTATAGCTATAAAGATGGTAGAAAGTGGTTTTAAAATTTGATAATTATTTACTCATGCATCCATTATCTACTTTTTGCAGTCCACAAATACAATGGCTGCCTACTATGTACTAGGCACTGTGACTAAATATTAAGTAAATAAATATTGAATTATTACACATTTGTTGTCAGTTATGGAACACTTATTATATGCCAGATACTGTGTTACATGCTCTATGTAAACAATGATGTTCCCTTTAAATAAATGAAGAACCCGAGGTGAAGAGCGCTCAAGCAGGCCAGTGTCACAGAGCCAGCAGATGGCGGAGCCAGGGCTGGATCTCAGGTCCGTGTGACACGCTGTCGGATTTGGTTATTAAGTGACTGTTAGTTCATACACAAATTGCGTGAACTTCCCTCTTAGGACTGTTTTTCCTGGGTCTCATCAATTTGAGGTCGTGTTTTAATTTTTATTTGTCTCAAGGTATCTTTTGATTTCTTCCTTGGTCTTGTTGCTAACCATTCATTGTTTAGTAACATGTTACTTAACCTCCATGAATTTGTGTTTCAGGTTTTTCCCCCCTTGTAATGTAACTGATTAGTTTCATGCCATTGTGGTCAGAGAAGATGCTTGATATGATTTCAACCTTCTTAAATTTAGACTTGTTTTTTGTCCTAACATGTGGTGTATCCTAGAAAATGTTCCATGTGCACTTGGAAAGAATGTTTATTTTGATGTTTTGGGGTGAAATGTTCTAGTGTATCCTTGAAGGTTGCTGTTTCCTTGTTGATTTTCTCTCTGGAAGATCTATCCATTGATGTCACTGGGGTGTTAACATCCCCTCCTACCACTGTATTGTTGTCCATCTCTCCTTTTATGTCCATCAATATTTGTTTTATATGTTTAAGTGCTTCTATGCCGTGTGCATAAATGTTTGCAAGGATTACATCCTCTTGTTGGGTTGTTCGCTTTATCATTATATAGTGTCCTTCTTTGTCTCTTATTATAGTCTTTGTTTTAAAGTCTTTTTTGTCTAATATAAATATTGCTACCTCAGATTTTTCATTAACACTTGCATGAAATATGTTTTTCTATCCCTTTACTTTCAGTTTCTGTCATGTAAATTTTGTTTATTATTATTTTAAACACAAAGAACAAAAGGAACACATTTTGAACTCCTTTTTTGGGGGGTTTTAGTCAAAAACATATGTGCCAAGTGTCCTGGATTTCTATTAAAAAGTTGCCTTTGCTTTGTTGGTAAGCAGTAATTTTATTTGTCTCTAAATGAGCACTTAGGTAAAATTTGGGGCCCTCATGGCCCAAATAAAATTTCATTTCTGTATTAGACTTGGCTGATGTTGAGATTTTTCTCTTTCTGTGTATTTCCTTTGTAATATTAATAAGTATTAACAAAGGATGTATTTTAAAGGGTAACTTTATTTTGAAATAGGAGAAAAGAAAATTTGTGTTGCAATAATGTCAGAGTTTCCAGAGGAAGGCATTGTGAAATCGTTTAAACACATTTTATTTGGGGTTCAGTATGAATTTTCAATAGATGTTTTTCAGATAAGAGAGCAGTAATTCAAACGCAGTTGTATAAACAAGATCAGAGAGGAATTATCCCGAAGGGTATAAAATGAACGAAGAGGCTTTAGTCTGAGTCACTACAGCCTCAGCTCACCAATGCAAAGTAAGGTAGGTGTCTATACTTGGAAGGCTTTGCAAGATGAAATGTTCTTTTTCTTTCTTCACTTTCACCATTTTAGCATTTATTGAAAATTGGCAAGTGCTGAGTGATAATTTGCTTGGATTGGCTCCAGAGAATTTTAATTATTGCTCCAAAATAGTTCAATGTTGGGTGAAGCATGAGCTATATCCATAAGGATAAGAAAAATCTCATTGACTTGAAGACGAACAGCAAGTCAATTCCCTGATTGATGTACATGACCTTCTTTTCCTATTTACATTTTGATTTACATATTTGTGTTAATTGAATAATCTACTTATTGAATTCTATCAATCATTAATGGTTACCTTTCATGATAATATACTTCTGGGGAAACTTAAATTCAATTTTGAGTATCGGCAGGGGTAATTTACGGTTTTATTTTAGTTATTTAGTAGCTAAACTGCCTTGGATAGTGTCTGGTATACACATCTGTCTGTCTTATAGTACATTTTACTCTCTGGAAGAATGTGTTGCTTTAGTAAGTTCCTGGATTGTTTACAGGGTAGACAGTCGATTCTATTCATAGTGTGGCAGGGGGTTGAAGAGAAAAAATTGGTGAAGGAAATTAACAGAGCAGAGAAAAAAGTGTTTATTGAAAATGAAGGCAGTGAGAGAAAAAAAAAAAAGAAAGAAAAAAATGGAGTAAGGGGCAAAAGAAAGAAGAAATCTTAGAATAAGGAAAAATATCGGCAGTATAGACATACACTGAAATAAGCATTTCTAGTTATTTGGGGCCTAAAATCATGCCTTCTGTATTTAGCTGCTCAATAAATAATTTATGGTGATTTTAAAAGAGGCAATTAATTTGCAAAGATAAGAATTCAGGTGATAAAAGAGAAATTGTGGCAGATTATATAGGGAGGTATTAACTAACACTGATTTTATATAGTGACACATGTATGTTTATGTCTATATTTATATAGTCTTCTTTATGTAGCACTCCAGGTTCACCACATGTGTTGTTTTATTCTTTTTTTATGAGTTCAGAATGGAGCATATAGAAAAATGAAGGCACAAAGATATTAAACTGCTCTGTTACAGACAATTGCAGAGAAATTTGGAAGGAGAATTTACTGTTAGACCAGGAGTTTGACACCAGTTTATCACATAGAATCATGAACTACTGGCACTGAAGGGAGCTTCCTGATCGACTTATGGTTCTAAGCTTTCCTTTTCTACATAAAAAAAATTGGGGCTTAGAAAGATTTTGTGGCTCAAGCTTTACTATTTGCAGTAAAGGAGAAAGAGTAATTTTTACTTTCTTTACATCCACAGTTACACAGCTATTTTGTTGATAACTCAGTACTTTTAATTTTTCCTTTTGTGAAGCTAGAGTTTTACATTTATAGGAGGAACTCTGAAGGAAGTGTTGTGTCCATGCTGAATATGACAATGGTTAAAAATTCTAAAATCGATTTTTTTTGTTCTTAGGATTTAAAAAAGAATTGAGTGTATTTGTCTCTCTCTGGTCTGTGTCTAGGGAAATGAGGCCTAGACAGATTACTCATAGGTCCATGGGAGATTTTTTAAAGTATATTTTATTGATTATACATGGGAAATCTTAAAATGTGATTATCTTCTTTAATTCAGGACCAATATTTTTGAGAAGCACAAAAATCCAAATATACCTAGCAACTGTACAACATTTATAAAGTAAATTCAACTGTACAACATTTATAAAGTAAAATCCAAATATACCTAACTGTACAACATTTATAAAGTAAAAAAAAATCTTCTTACTCTTTGAAGTGATCCCTTTACATTCCAAAGTCTGGATGACACTCTCAGTAGCAGAACTAAGGTAATTATGTTAACATTACCTTATGATGCCCAGTTGATGCTGAACCAACTCTTCCATCAGATGGACTCTCCTAAGATACACGTTCCCCTTCTGCCTGCAGCAGGTGGACCCTCTGGTGTCCTCCATGCATCCAAACATGTCTTACTTACCTGGCTAACCTGCAGTGCATCTGCCATTCTGGAGTGTATCACTCTCATTGGGTCAACCTGTATCTTTTGCAACTGTAACCTTTTTAAGATAATGAATTTCATGCATCTTCTGAGCAACAGTTTTTTTATTTGTCCAACTCTACTGCTTTCAGCCTTAGAGGAATAGGGGGAGTATCTGGATGTCTGGGTCAGCTCCTTAACATCAGTGGCAGTTTCAGTTCATCTTTTCTCGCCTTATTTTGTCTTCCTTGAAAGGCAGTGGGTAAAATGAAATGCAAGATTATTTGTCTGGAGATGGTACTAATGTCTGATTATGCACTTGCTTGGTTTCTTGCTCCTTCTGATGATGAACTGTTTGCTGGTCTTTTAACCAAAGTTTTTTGAAATTACAGTTCTGGAGAAGCTGTTACTGAACCTTCACCATTAATTCACTTTTTGTAACCACAGAAGGAGGTATTTGGATTGCGTCCATTGAATGCCTGGCTTTACACTTAGTTGCTATTTTTGTCTCCACTGCTTCCCTGCTGTGGTGGTTTGGGCTTGCCATTCGGCTGCCAGTGGCACCAAGCAGCACGTGCAAGCAGGACCTTCACCGTATGACTGCATGCATGCGTGCACCGTGGGCTCTGTGTATCACAGCCACATCTAAGTGTATAAAGAAAAGTTACTGAGAGTATTAACTATGTAAAAACACCTAATACAGGGCCTTGGGCAAAATAGGCATTGTATTAAAATACATACATATATTTTTAAATTAAGTTTTATTTATTTGTTTGTTTATTTATTTATAGAGAGAGGATAAGAGGAGAAAGAGAGGGAAGGAAACATCAATGTGTGGTTGCCTCTCATGTGCCACCCACAGGGGACCTGGCTGGTAACCCAGGCATGGGCCCCGACTGGGAATCGAACCGGTGGTGCTTTGGATTGCAGTCTGCCCTCAATCCAATGAGCTACACCCACTGGGACATAAAATACATGTATTTTTAGTTCTTTCCAAATGTCCCTTCTAAGACTATACTTTCAGGGATCATTTCTATAGTCCAAATGTTCCTTTTGAATGTGCTAAAGGACACATCTAATAGATTCTTTAATTTTGTCTTTGATTTAGCATGACTGCCATCTTCCTGATGTCCGTGCTTCTTGGCCTTGCATGTGGGCAAGTGACCTCTTTTTGTATTCTGACCGAGTATATGATGCATGTCGAAAGGAAGGAGTGTGATTATTGCCTAGCCATCAACACCACCATCTGTGCTGGATATTGTATGACACGGGTATGTAGTCCATCTCACTTCTTTTAGCTGTAAATTAGATAAACCTAGGCTTAGTCCATTTCTATCCAGAAAGGAAATGAGCTAAATCACGTCCCCACTTTCCAGATCTAATGGTGACTGGCTCCTTAGTGGATAATGCAAAGGTTACAGTATTATGTACAGTACTCAGCACGTGGGCACAGATGATTTCATATCAGTTTACTTCCACACTTTGTTGTCTTATTCCTGTGATCAAGGATAAAGGGGGGTATGTGCTACTTTTCTCTCTCTGGGATTCAGTGACGATGTGTTGAGTTGGTACATGTTAAATGGGGCTAAGAAACCCTCTCCCAGTCCTATTGGTGACAATGGAATATAGGTGAATTAATTTCTACTTGTTTTCATTATCTGTATGTACCCTAAAGTCCTATTCCACTATGTCCCCTTTTCTGTTCTCTCCGCAGGATATCAATGGCAAGCTCTTTCTTCCCAAACATGCGCTGGCCCAGGATGTTTGCACGTATAGAGACTTCACGTACAAGACCGTAGAAATACCAGGTTGCCCGCGCCATGTCAGTCCTTATTTCTCCTATCCCGTAGCTGTGAGCTGTAAGTGTGGCAAGTGCGACACCGACTACAGTGACTGTGCACATGAGGCCGTCAGGACGAACTACTGCACCAAACCTCAGCAGTCCTATGTGGTGGGGTTTTCTGTCTGACTTCAGTGGTGATGTAATTTGCAATTCAGTTACCTGTGTTTGCCTGGAATAAAACTAATACTACATCAATACATTCCACAACACATCGTGTGCATTTTGAGTACTGTCTCATCCATGCCGGTACCCACGCATGCACGTGTGAGAGACCTCAGGGGTACTAAAAGGAAGGGTGACTGGAAGGGCCTTTTGAGCTCATGTGAAGGATGGTTTCCACATGACAGGGCGGAGTGCAGGTAACATGGAGAACAGGGACGTGAAATTCTAATGAAAGCCATCCTTGAGCAAGCTCTTTACACGGGGCCATGGATTTTGCCTTGACATAGACGATGAATGTGGGAACGCTGTGGAATTACCAGGAAAGGCTAATGTGATCAGAACCTGGGGGGACCAGTTAGGTCTGAACAGCAGACTCTTTACTCATTAATCAAATATCTGTATTTGATATACAGTTATCAGAGGGGATGTTATAATCCTGCAGCTTTAAGTGTCCAAGTTATCAGGTGACATGAGAACCCAAAGCCCCAGATTAATATTTGGAGTCCACACTAATATCAGGTTCCAAAGGACCGGAGTGGAGACGGAGAGTAAGGAATATGTGAAATCTGCAATATAGGACTTTACCCTAATCATTCAAATGCACAGGATAAAACCTCACCAACACGCAGGAAACACTGTATTCTATTTGAAGAACTATTCTCTTTAATTTAAATACTTTGGCGGGCTGACTTATGAAAGCTATACCTTCAAAGCCTAGAAAAGAGGCCACGATCATTTTACATGTGAATGTCTAAATCCTTTGTAGTCTTTCAAGTAATAAGAGACAGTTTTCAGCATTTATACCAAAAGCAACCTGTGCTGTTTTGGCTGTTGATGCCATGAAAACCTAATATGATTATGAAAGATTTTAGGGACAGGGGACAGTGCTAAGGGATTTAATAGAGTAGAAGCATTGGAAATTCTAACCTAAACATTGGCCAATATTGAAACACTGTGTTCTGGTAAATGTGCTTGGTAAGCGGCTGATGTTTTCCTTTTCCTTCTGTAGGTGCTCTTTCATGGGGGCTTGATTTCAATTAGGTGCAGACCCAGTTCCCTGCAGACTTGACCTCAAAAAGGTGACTTACCCTGTATTTGTCCATTTCACTCCATCCACACTGCTGCCCTCTGGGCAAAAGTCAGCTGTTGGCCGGGCCAGTTGGCTTTGCTGTGTCCCACGGGCGCTAGACGTATTCAGCTGGGCGTCACGCACACGCCTGCGTGCCGGCCATGCCCGTGGGGATGGTGCGGTGGTGTAGCTGGGTAATGCCAAGCCCATGCTCTTCCAATGGGAAGGGAGGAGTTGTACATTTATATACAAAGTCAGGAATTCACGTTATTTTTACCTTAATGTCTGAAGGTAATATTAGCGTGGCCTCCAAATGTTCATCCGGAGCATTGGGTTCTCTCATTACTTGGTAACATGGGCACTTAAGGCTGCAGGGTTATGTAACATCCTCTCTGAAAACTGTATATCAAATATATATATTTGAGTAATGAGTAAAAAATCTAATGTTCAGACTTAACTGGCATTAATCACATATGACTTGCATGGATCTGAAAAACATTTCCTGAGGACTTAACTGTGGAAAGACCGGGGGGTTTAGGGAGGCCACCTGTAAACAGTCCAGCTCAGAAGACGGTGAAATGGGCTGCCTCCACCTGAAGGGAGGGGGCTAGAGGTGTGGGGGGCCCGTGGTGGGCCCGTGGTGGGCCACGGAGCCCTGGAGCGGGCATGTCAGAGGCACTTTATCCCCTTCCCCAAAGGCTGTCCATTCGGCAAGTTGTGTTAAATTGTGTAGTTTAACACAAATTGTGTTAAGCTATACTCGAAAGTGGAGCTGTCCACTTTGTCTTTGTCCAAGACAAAGAATCCTTAGGAGAGAGCCTAGGCATCGCTGTGACCAACAATTTGCCCCAGCTGGATCCAGAAACTTGGGTATATGGAAGTGCTGTTTGGGGGGTATTGTTGTTCTTTGGGTTGAAGAGAATGTATGGAGAGCTTAGAAATGGGAAATGAAGACTCGCTGCTTGTGTTATAGGAGAAAGATGGAAACTTTGGAATATTTTCTGACGTGGTCTTTACATTCAACCTAAGGTTTCAAAGAATCAGTTCTTGGCAGAGGAAGTTTGAGACTCAGTGCTTTAAAAAAAATCCCTCCATTGGATCCCCATTGGATTCTGAAATATAGAGAGTTCTTTCATAACCAAATGGGTCTGGGGTGATTGCAGCAGCAACCCCTGCTTTTCTCATGGCCCAAGTCTTTAGGAGTGAGTGCGTGCACCAGGATGGACATACAGAAGGGTAACGGCATAATGGTTCCTGATAATAGGAATTTCAAGTAATAAAAGTTCTTTTATATAAGAAATTGCCCCCTCCTTTTCTGAGCAACAAGTCTCAGGGCAATAAAACTTCTTTTGCAGGAGCTTCTACTCTAACCCTATTGCTCAGTGTTGTTCTTCCATACTCTTTTACCTGGTTCATTTATATCTATCTTTGAAAACCACCCTGTGTCACTTTCTCTACTTCTGTTACTTTCCTCCTTCCCGCCATTTTTTGCCTTCCTAGCATCCATGTCCCTTCTTTAGGTAGTTACATTTTGATTTTCTTCAGGGGTCATTCCTACCACTGTCTTCCATTCAAATAGCTTGGGTGGGACTAATGAAGGTGGGCCTGCCACTTGGACTCAACTAAGCCCGACTGATTCAAGGATGGGCACATGACCCAGTCTCTTCCAGTAGGAGTCAGTCCCAGGGCTGGTACTGTAACTTCTGGGCAAAGAGGAGCGCTTGGCCTGTTGAGGTTCCCAAGCTCATAGAACGTGAGCCTAGACTGCTGTCCCTTGTTGGCATCCCCTGGGGATAACCTGCCTGGGAAGAAAGCCGACCTGGAGGACAGCAAGGAGACTGAGAAGGAGAGACTTACTGATAGTATTTGAGCCTATTCTGAAGCCAGCGTCAACCAGCATCACAAATTTTCTTTTCTGTTTGGGTTAGTTAGAGTTGGATTTCTGACACTTGCAACTCAAAAGTACTGACTAATTCAGCATCCTTAGCGCTCGTTCCAAAAGATACTCCTGATCCCATCCCACATTTCCTCCAGAGCCTTTCTGTTTCCTCTTGTGCCTCCTCTTGCTTCCTTCTTACGAACTCTTCTTCCTCCTCAGTATGAAGTAGACTACAGTTTCTTCTCATCCTTAAAAAAAAAAAAAACAAAAGCAGGCAAACAACCCTCTCTTGACCCTGTGTAACCTCTTACTTATTTGTCTCTCTCTCCTTGAATTCTTATTCCAGTTTCTTTGTGAAAGAGCCCTGTATAGCCAGCCCCTTTGGGCTGCTGTAACAGAATGCTGCAGACCGGGTAGCTTATAAACAACAACAACCTATTTCTCACAGCTCTGGAGGTTGGGGAGTTCAAGGTTGTGGCACCAGCAGAGTCATGTTCTGGTGGGAGCCCTTTACCTGGTTCTAGCTGGCTCTTTCTTGCCGTGTCCTCACTTGGTGTAAGGGGCAAGGGATCTCTATGGGGTCTCTCTTATAAGAACACTAATCCTATTATAAAGTGTCTATCCTTATGACCTGGGCCCCTCCCAGTGGCTCTACCTCCTAATAACATCACCTTGGGCCTTAGGGTTCCGACATACGAATTTTGGGGGGACCTAAACATTTAGACCATAGCAAGCTCCCTGCACTAACCACTGACTTTCTCACTTCTCAATTCTCTTCTCAACTCATTGCCATTTGAGCTCTACTCCCGTCAGCAGTTTTCAGTAAGGTCAGACATGACTGGCTACTGGTCCAATACACAGGACGCTTTTTGGTTCTGCTCTTCCCTGACCTCTCTGCTTCCCCACAGGGCTCAGTGGAGATCACACATCTGGATTCATGATGAAACACACCCTGGGCAATTATAATCAGTCCTCACGAGGCCAAAGTCAACATTTCCCTCCTTTATGCCTTCTCTTTCTACCCCCTCCTCTAAGATGACAAAATCTATGCTATGGTTCTCAGCAGGTGACAGTCATGTAGTTCTGGACTGTACTTCCTTTTGCGAGTGGAATTTTGGTTGGTGCAGGAGGGGTGAGGATCGCAAACTTAGTGAAGGTAGGGCCAGGGGTGCGATACTGGTGTCCGCTGGCCCCTGCCGACACCATTCAATGTGGAGCATATGTGAAATGGGTTTGTATTAATTCAGCCTTGGGTATCCTAAGGAATTATATCCATTTCAGGAAGACGGTTTAGGTGGTGGCTCCTGAAAGAATGCAGGGAGCTAAGGGCGACCCTTGTTTGAGATTAAGAAACGAATGGGAAATAAATGTTTTGGGCTTTTAACTTAGTAGAGGATTTTATAATTAAAAAATTTTTAAGTTAAATTTATTGGGGTGACATTGGTTAATAAAACATGTAAGTTTCAAGCATACAATTCCATATCATCTGGATATTGCATTGTGCTTACCACTCAGAGTCCAAACTGCTTCTGTCACCACATATCCAGTATCTGACTCCCTTTACTACCTCTCCCCTCCCCTCCCCCACCCCTTGCCCTCTGGTAACCACCATACTGTAGTCTGTGTCTGTGAGTTTCTCTTGGTCTTGTTCATCGGATTTTTCAAACTTGAATTTCTCACTGAGGTCTTAAACATGAGCGGCAGCTCAGATTTTTCAGACCTGGGCATTAGTACTTTTATCGTGCAGATTCCTCAACTACAGTTCTGACCCAGACTTCCTCCCTGAGCTTCGGAGCCGCATAGCCAGGGTCTGTTTCTGTTCCCTCTCCGGCGTCCTGTCGTCCTCTCCAACGTGGCACCGAAACTGGCTTTCCTCCCGTGCTCCACCCTCTTCCAGCTAAAAAGACACCTGGGAACGACCTTTCCTTCCTTTTCTCTTACATCCGTCTGCTTCTTCCTGGTGGGATTTCCAGTACACTCATTAGAATCCTCATGATTCTGGCCTCGGTCCTCCAATCATTCACACTGAAGCTAGGTAATCTTTAAAAAGTTCAAATCTGATTTTGTAACTCATTGTTTAAAATCTTCCCAACAACTGGCAGGTCCATTTTTATTTTTCTGAGAAAATACCATACTGTTTTCCATAACGGTTGTACCAGTCTGCAATCCCACCAACAGTGAACGAAGGTCCCCTTTACCTCTGCGTGAAGATGCGGCTCCTTAGGTCATTGTGACAGGGCCCTTTATCTCCTCAGTTCTCATCCTGCCCTCTCCTATTGTTTACAGGCACCTCTGTTTCAGTCTCCTGGTGGGCTGCTTCCCCACCCTGCTGTTACCTGTCACTGGCGGATTTGCATGGTTCTTCAGCACTCAGTTCAGAGAGCTCAGAACTTAGGAGACCTCTCTCCTGTGACCACTATCCGCGGGGATGAGTGGGTCCGCTGTGGGTTAGTGATGATCGTGGCACTTCCTTTACGGGAATTAGACTTGCCAGCTCTTTTCCACTCTAAGCTTCTTTTTTAAAAAAATTGTGTTTAGGGAGAGGAACATAGATTTGTTCCACTTTTTTTAAGCATCCATTGATTCTTGTATCTATCTGCCTTGCACAGGGATCAAACTCACAACCTTGGCGTAGCCGGATGACACTCTAACCAACCTGGGTCGCCCTGAGCTACCCAGCAGGGCCCATGACTCCAAGCTTCTTAAGGGCAGAGACTTGTCTTGTCCGTCTTAGCATATCAGTGTTGTTATAAAGAGGACTTTTTTCCCCCGAGTGTACAAAATAGTAGTACAAAAACAAAGTAAAGAAAAATATTTCTAACATTGGAGTGAGTTCCATCTTACAAGGCAGAGCGGGCCCAGAAAAAAACAGAGGGTCTTGTCTGGGACTATTAATACCAAGTCTTTGAATTAAAATAGAATTGGGAAATATAGCATAAGCTACTCATTAATTAAGCAAATGAATGTGTTCACGTAGGTATTTATGGACGTATCTTTGGTTACACATGATTTTGTGTGATTTACAATTAACAAAACATCTTCCTGTCAACATAATTATAATGGTACTTAGTATTCATTAGTTGCCAGCTATACTAAGCACTTTGTTGGTTACTTCTTTCAATTTAAATTTTTTCTACTTAATATAAATGAAACCATCAAAAATTATATAGGAAACTCACTCCCACCCCCCAAAAAACCCCACAAATACCAGGGCTTTGGAAGGGTTCCTGGCACAGCAGCTGAAAACTTCATGAAATCAGCACAGATTTTGCTTTGCAACATCCTGGGCATTTTACTTCCATTCTTCATGTTTCCGTATCTCTGGAGACAGTCATTTGAATAGTGGATCCTTGGCATGTGTTTAGCCTTCGTTGTTATCACAAGGATATCAACAAAATGATGATGACATTTTGCACTGGTGTAGTCTTTTTACCTCTCAGGGGATACCTCCATATGATACCTTACAGGTATATTTTATAGGAAAAATAATGTCATGTTGAAAGGAAATAGAAAACCTTTGTCTTTCTTAAAATATACCTTCCCCCAAATTTGATTTTGATGAGTCCAAACTAAGATGATGTATTTAAATGACTAGCTTCAGGGACCTGTGAGGTTCCCTCTGAGGGATGGGGAAAGGGGGGTAGCTGACACTGAGGGGCTGGTGCTCAAAGCACCTGCCAGGGGAGCAGTGAATCGGGAAAGCTGGGGTGTACCTCCTGAACTCCCAGCCACTGTCCTTAGAGCCACGGAAACCACGCTTTACCCAGGATACAGAGGACGCCTCATCCCTTTAATCTTTGATAGACTTCTTTCAAAAGGGAAGATGCATGGCCTCTCCCACTGCCGTCTTCCCGCAGCCTCATTTGCACCGAGCAAACCCCTTATTGTTCTTCACTGGGGAGAGGAGAACAAGCGCTGAGGTTGCCTGTGCATGGGGAGGGTAGGGGGAGGGGGGAGTGGGGGCAGGCCACACTGGGCCCCCCGCACCAGTGTGTGGTTTACAGATTAAACCACGGACAAAGAGGAGCTGTTCTGGGGAAGAGGTACAGTTTGGGTGAAACACTGTTTGTTGAAATACAGCCGTATGTAATGAGAGCCCTTCAAGTGTTGCTTTTGAGTCCAGCTCCCAAGGTGCCTCTGTAGAAGGGCTACTGCTACTTCCCTTTCTCACCATACTGTGTGGGCGGATTGGTGACCTTTGGACATGTGTGGAGGTGTGCATGAAGATATAACAGGATTTTAAGATAAACAAGCAATTGTAGTGCATAGAAAATTTAATTTGAAATACCTTAAAATATTTCATCGAAAAGTTCTAAGTCAGGGCTTTGGCACCAGAGGCTTAAGAAAATGTTTGGGTCTGACCTCATATTGGTACAGGTAAACAGACATAGGCAACATTTTATATTTGTGTATATACATATACACATATATGTATACATGCATACACATGCACACATGTATACATATAGTTGTGTTATATATGTATATATTCAAGAGGTACATACTCAATAGCTCTGTATAGGTTCAAGATATATAGGAATTCAAGATGTATGTATACATTCAAGATATACATATATATAGAAATCTACCTTCACTCAGAGGTGGAATTCTCTAATTTTACTCAGGGCATGTAATTTGGAAAAATTACTCCAAAAAGGGCACATTAATAAGTAAATATAATTATGAATGGACCAGGAATGAAGAGATGGTTCACCTCTGCTCTTCTACTTTTAACTGTTGTAGTCTTTTTTAAGGTCGTTAATTCTGATATACAACAAAACTCATTTCTGCTGACTCAGAGGCAAGTCTGAGCTGGAAAAAACCTGAGTTTGCACTTGGGCCTGTTTCCTGTCTTCACGCAGAGAGATGAAGAAAGCCATCAAGAGACATGGGCTGTTTGTTCTTTGCTGAAAAGGTTGTATTTCTCAACTACTGGGATATAAACCCCTATTTTGTGAAGTGATTGTCTTAGATACGGTAAAGTAGCCATGAGCGATTCAATTTTCAGCTTGCTTCCAATCTGACTTTTTTTCTTTTCTAGAAAGGTTTCCTACAGTAGCAGGCATGGCGGAAGGGGAAGTGCCATTCTTTATGGGATGAGACGATTTCAAACCGTGAAGCCTTCTCAGTAAATGGCTTGTAGTTTCTCGGAAGAGTACACTGAGAGACTTGCGTTCTCACCCATGTGCAAACTTACTCGGCGGTCTCAAAGTGTGCGGTACTTTCACTCTTGTGTGTGGGCTTTTCGAGTGCAATCCTAAACAGAATGCCATGATTTCCTAAATGTACCAAGTTATTAAAAATGGACAAATATGTCCATTTAGATCCTAAATTTGGGTGTACTTAAAATAAAGCGTCAAGACCATAAAGGAACATGGAAATTTTATTTGTATGGGGGCCTTGCACTGAGAAAAACAGGTTTCTGGTGTGTGTGTGTGTGTGTGCGTGTGTGTGAGTACATATCCTTGTACTGTGGGTATTCTGTGTGTGCACACAACCCGGAGAAGAGGCTCTTGTTTGTTTTGGGTTGGCCAAGGATGCTCATGATATAATATTTGGACTTCATGAAGGATTTTGTTTTATTTACTTTAAGCAGTAAAAACTGTACTTCTTAATCTATGAAGAAGGGCTCTCTAGGTGAATAAATAGGAAAAATATAAAAAATTAGGAAAATATGTAAACTCAAGTGATGAGGTATTTTAAAGATACAGTGCCTGTGAAATTCTCTTTCCCACAGTGACAGCTGCCAGACCTCTCACTGTGGTCCTCCTGCCCTTGCATTTGGAGAAATACGGAGGAGTCTGAGATAAAAGCCCTTTTGCGGGTGAGAGGGTTGCAGTAGTTCAGAGCAGCGTCACGGAAAGAAAGGAATAAAGCAACATTTAGACACCTTTATATAAGAACACAAATATTTTCTTAAAAAGTCATTAAAAGGCTTTTTCTTTTTCAGTCCTTACAAGTCACTTTTACAGGACACACGATTGTCTGTGTAACCCTTTTTGCAGAGGGAGGTTTTTTTTTCTTTTTAAATACTAGGAAAATATGACTTATTCAAATTAGATTTTCCATGCTATATTTAGTTGCACAGATGTATTTAGGGCTAAAACTGTGGTTGACTGTATTCTGGGGAGAGCATGTATATAAAAAAATCCCAGGAACCCTCACACTCTCCTCAGACCCAATCATTTTAACCCTGCACCGCGGTCTCTCCACTCCTGTGGCTTATTGCTTCTGTGACCCAGGGGTCCCTGAACTCTGTACCTAACTTTCTGTGGCTAGACTCTGAGAAACCGATCAATTATTACATTTATCAAAGTTTCTGATCTTTTTCTGAGAGTTAAATATTCCATAGGCTGTTCCTTTCACTGTATAACCAATCAGAAATTCCCAGCAAGCCGACTTCATTCTGCATGATGCATATACCGGAAGCACACAAATCACACACGAATACGCTCCCAGTCAGTGTACGTAGGCATTCACTCGAGGGGTAAGTCAGTGATGAGCCAAACATACATACATGTGCAAATGTACAATTGAGAGAAAAGTATTTAAATCCTAACGTCCTTTGAATATGAAAAATGAGCCAGGAGACAGCTCCTGTCACGTGTATATGGAAGCTCTAGATTGCAGTTTTCTCATGGAAGCAGCTTCATATCACGTCTCTGGAGGTTCGTATTGCACAGCAAAGGACCATGCTGAACACCATGCCAAGGATCTGAAAGAGAAGGACACACGTGTTAATGACTTTCAGATGACGAACGCTGATGGAAAGCACAGCAGACTACCCATGTGTCTAGCTCAAGTTAACGAGTACTAGAACCAGCAATTACTGGTTATAAATGGCACTTTTACATATCTCCTTAATTATGACTACGGGTTAGAGACTTCCATATTAACTCTGCCTGAAATGAACTCCGATTTCATTATTGTTGAAAAGTAACAAGGCTTGGCTTTAAGAAAAGAGCTCTACGTCTAGCTTCTAGAACAGTTGTTAATAATTATAAAAGACCAATAATACAGTACTGTTTGGGGAATTTTATATTTCAGGTTAATTTCAGATCTCTTCTATCTTTGCTTTGAGAAGTATTTATAGCCACTAGTTGTTGAAATATGCCTGTGGTCTAAGTAGTTGTCTACTGTTGGAAATGCTTTGAGTTTTTGCAACGGCAACTGCACATTAAAAAGTGGACCATCTCTTCACTCCCGCTCCATTTCTAAGTGTAAGTGATGCTTCACTATTTAACTCGATAGTTTTACCAAAACATAAATCAAGGTGTTTTGAGCTGTGATATTCCTGGTGTCTTCTAATCTCAGAGAAGCCAAATGCTTGGCAAGCTCAGTGGCCACTGAGACGCTTTGAATAGAAGGGTGCCCAAAGATCCTCGCCCTCAGCCCTTCCCCCTACCATTTTGCAGAGCCAGAGGAGGGCTCTCTGTGGGCCCAGTGTTTGTAAACCATAGTCAGTGTTTGTTTAAAGAAATCATTGCCGTGACTCTCTGGTTCTGTCCTCAATCCCATCCTGTATCAGACTAGGATCTGCAAGTGCCAGGTTAAAGAAAACATGTGTTTGTCCTCTATTTCAGAAGGGAAGGGGTAGGCTTAAGTAAGGGAGTGGCCTCCGAGCTTGGGCTGGGCTCCCTGTTTCTGGCTGACAGAAGTCAGTACAGTGTGTGGCAGGGGAGACACCTAATGGACATCTGGTTAACTCTGCTCTGTGCAGCTCCTACCACAGGAAGAAAAGAATTAAGGGAGAAACTTGGGGGGGGGGTTACTGATTCAAGGTGGCCAATAGAGCGAATGTAAGGCTGGATGCAACCCCATCCTCACCTGGTTTTACTCTAGATGGTCCCCTCAGGAAGACACTTTACCAGCTTCATCCTGCCCCTGTCATGAGGCGGGGTGACCGACCGCTTCTAGGAGGCTCATTCATCGAGACTAGAGCATTGTGAGGAGGGTCTGTCTGGTACTTCTGTTACACAGAATGTTCTCAAATGTTCCACCTCAGGATGGTGATCAGGCTAGCCCCCGGCAGGTGGGGAGGGCCTGAGAGGTGTTCCTGGACCGGGGCTCCTCAGCATGATATATTTACCTGCCTCCCCACCCCTGTGCTCCAAACACAGGCAAGAGGAAAGATGCTTGAGTGTCTCCCTAGACCTGCCAATTTGTTGATTTCCTTGCAATTCCCACTGCCCCTGCCTTAGCTTAGGCCAGGAGTCAACCTACATAGAAGGTTAGAGGGCAAGTACTTCCTTAGCATTAGCTCTTTGCACTCAAACCCTTAGCAATGCAAATCACCACTTTACTGGCCCCACTTGACTCCAATCTTGCTTCCCTCTGACTTTATCTCCAGGTCCTTCCAACCCTCGGTGGCTCCCCTCTTTCTACCCAACCTCTGAAAGGACACGAAGACCTCAGTTACCTGGACCCTCACACCCTGTCCTTGTCCTCTCTTCCTGCTACTCCTACCACACCCTAAAGTCCCTAGCCATTCTCGCTCACTCGCTATTCTGCAGTTAGAGGAGCTGAGCCACCTGCAGTGCCCGGGGGCACTACGACCCAGACTGTCACACGTGCTGTTCCCCTGGATTCTGCGTTTGGGAGTGCGCAGATTGCATGAACAGCCGGCACGCATTCAGTGCTATGTTCCATGCACTATAATGTCTGATAATACTTGATATGTAGTATTGTGTTTAATCTTCACAATAATTGTAAGAGATTAGTACATTAAAACCCTTGTTTTACAGGTGAGGGAATTGAGGCACAGAGAAATTAGGAAGCTTTCCCATGATCCCAGGGCTTGTAAGTAGCGAAGCCAAAAGCAGAAGCCAGACAGCGTGATCCTGCCAGAGCTCATGCTGCTCATCGCCGCACCGCGCCGGCTCTGTAGACCTCATGTGACAGGGTTAAGCTGATGCTGTTTTACATTTCTAACCGTAGAAGAGACCAGAACTGAAAATCACTGGTCTAGGTTAAGCTTGGTGGCTTTAAATTGGGAAATTATTACAATGATAAACTCAAGGTTCTCATTATGCTATGATATTTGTATCATATTTCAGAGAACTCAATCTTAATGTATTTAATTAGCTTTGTTCGGAGCTGTCCTGTCGACAGATGGCTTTGTCTTTTAGAAGACATGTCTCCCAAGACACTGCCATCACACGAAGAGAAATAAGGTGCAAAGGCACGAGGCTCCTTCGAGGGCAGAAGCTATGTTCTGAAACTTTCTCACCGTGAGAGCTGCAACTCCAATGCCGACAATTCCGATGAGCTGGAGCTTAACACTAATTACGGTCTCGATTTCGTCAATGCAATTCTGTTGCGGAAAAAAAAGCCAGAAGTAACACCTGATGGTACAGTTGTCCCCCTTGCTCCATGGGGGACACACCCTGAGACCCCCAGTGGATGCCTGAAGCCGCAGAGAGTACCAAACCCTGTACGTAGATGGCACTACACATAACCACTAGCATTACTGGTGCATTCTTAGACACAAAGTTCATTCTCTATATACGACCGTGTGCTTTTTCAGCTTAACACTGAATTTCAAAACTGTCTTCTTTCATTAAAAATTCTCTAAGATTGTGATTGTAGTGGCTGGAAAACACTTTCTCCTATGCTAGTATATAACTTACTAAGACAGTCCCCTGTTGTCACATATCAGTGTGACCTATCTGGGGTTTTGTTCGTAGGATGACGGTGCAGAGGACACCACCATGCAGAAGTCTCTATTTGCAGCTCTGATTTCTTCTCTTAAAATAATTTTGAGAAGTGGGACTTCTGGGCCAAAGGGCATGAACTACTTAACCTATTAGCCTTACACACTCATATCATTCTCTAAAACTTGTGTACCAATTTCTCTGAAAATGCTCATTTTACATCATTTGTGCTCCACACTATATATGATTATTAAGGGGAAAAAACTTGGCCAATTTTATTGGTTAAATAATAGCATCTCTTTATTTTAAACATTATTATTCATTGCCTATAATTTCAATGTGTTGAGTGGTAATTTGGGTTTCCGGTTTTCTGAACTCCCTTCTCCTGCCCTTTGCCCAAAGCCAAACTGTGTGAGGGGCGCCGTCCCTTCCTGCAGTCTGGGCTCTGCCCTCAGTCCGCCTCTGACATGGGGCCACCACTTTTTAAATGCTCAGTTCGGTCAGCTTTCCAGTACATCCTTGAGCTTTTAGTTCCCCCCACAAGCCACCACGCTTTCTGCTTCTGTGTTGTCGCATGTCATGCTGCTCGCCGCAGGCAGATCTCCTCCAAGCTCTCGTGCCAACTGAAGCCAGAAGTCACTACTGTGGTCTGCCTCCCCCGGACCCCTGGCCTCTGGCCTCCCCTAAGCCCCACGCAGCGTTCATGGCATCGCACACAGTTTGTGCGCACCTCTGTCACTGCGCTCAATCCACCGCGGAGGTCGCCTCTCCAATTGGACTTTGAGTTCCTTGAGAGCAGGGACTTTGGGTCACTCGTCTTTGAGCCCACAGGGCCTGGTAAATGCCAAACTGACCTCGGTGGCAGCACCCGGCCCTGGGCACAGTCCCTGCTCCCTCGTCCTGCCTCCTCGCTGGTGTCTGCCCACTCCTCCTAGTCTCCTTATTGGGCGGCTCCTCCTCTGGCCACTTCTAAATGTGGTTTCCCAGAGTTCTATCCTTCTTTTCCTCCAAACCTAATGGAGCAAATTCAATCTAGAGCTTTAAGATTCCCAAACCTCTCTCCTGAGCTGCAAACCAAATTTTCCAACTGCCTACTGGACGTTTCCACTGGGAGGTTCTGCTGGCTCCACCAAATTCCCATGTTACACACTGACTTCACTTTTTTTTCCTACAAAATTTGCTTGTTCTCTATTCCGCATTTCGGTAAATGATGCCATCATCCCTCCAGACAGGGAAGCCAGGGCCCAGCAGTGGGTGTCTGGCTTCTCTCCTGTCTCGCTTGTCACCGGGTCCTGCAGATTTCACTTTCTAGAAGGCCTTTTCCTCTTCATTCCTGCCCCGTTAGCCACTCTTGGCTGACCATGTGGTTACAGTTTTCCCACCTGGTCTCTCCAGCTCCAGGTTACTCACCTCCCTTCAGTCCTCCTTACTGCTACTATGTCAAACTCAGGAAAACCCCAATGCCATCCCAGAACCCACCCGATTTCTGGCTTCAGGACAGTATTGGAGGCCCTTCAAGAACAGGTGTCCCCTCTAAAGGGACTCACCTGGACAGGCCCCTCCCCGCCCCCGCACTTTCCTGGATACAGCTACCTTCTCTTGCCTCTGTGCCTTTGCCTGATGTCCTCTAGGTGGAGTGTTCATTCCTTTGTTTGCTTGCTGAACTATTCATCCTTCAAAATCCACCCTCAGAATCATGCCAGGGCAGCTTCCCGGGAGCCCTCGAGTCCCGTGCCCCTGGCTGAGTTTCTTGTGCTGCCACATGGGGTGACGCCTCCCTGGATGTCACCCCAGCCAGAGGGCGCACCCTCACGGGCAGAGGGTGTCCTGTTCACTTCACCCAACTCAGAAGGACGCAGGGAGTGTTCAGTGGGTGCTTCACAATGGAAGTGGGGAGTAAATTCTCACCCACCTTTTCACAGCTGAATGCCTCAGACATTGACAGCATTGTTCCCACATTCTCCTATTTTCCTCATTTCCCACGTGGTACCTGTGTTTTTTTTCCACCAATGCGCTGGAACCACGTGGTGAACGCCATTAACTGTCTTCTAAGCACCAAATCCAACAAATTATTTCCAGCCTGCACATTCTCATCCTCCTCCCGGCACCTGACTCTGTGGACACGCCATCTCCCCCCGTTTCCTGGGTGCCACCGTCACTGGGCTCTCCCTGACTCCGACGCCTCTTCGCAGTCTCGTTCTGGCTTCTCGCCCTCAGCGAACCTCCTCATTGGCCTCTTCCCCGTCCCACACTCTCTCCCTGCGTGCTCCCATCCACACCTACCAATATGGCTTCAGCGACCACCAATATGCTGGGATTCCACACCCGCGTCTTCAACAAAGATTACCTGCAAGTCCCACAGGCACCTGAAGTGCAACTCGACCGGGGCTGCAGCTGTCCTCTGCTCCCAGCATCCGCTCCTTTCCCCACACTTGCCTCGCTCAGTGAGTGGAGCCTCTGCCCATCACTCCGCCGACGCAGAAGTCTAAAGTCTTAGCTGCCTCCTCTCCTTCCCGACTCAAGCCCAGTGAGTTGTCCAGGCCTGACAACTTCTGATTCCACCCCACAAACATCTCTGAATCTGTCTCTTCCTCCCTCCCCACTGTTGTGACTTCCTCTAACCCTTCATCCTCTCTTACCAGGGTGACCACTGAATGTCACCTAAGTGGCCTCTCTCCATAGTCTCTAACCTCTGACTCTACCAGACACACCCGCAGCCTGAATGCTCTCCCTGCAAGGCAAAGCCGACTGTGTTAATCCTCTGTGCTTCCCCAAGCTTCCAGGTGTGGAATCATGCTTCTGACTGCCTCTCAAAAAATGTTCCTCACCATTAGCTCTAGACAACCTGTTCTGCAGTCCCAGAGCGTCATACTGCCCTGCCTCTGCCACTGCTGCTTTCTGGGCCTGGAATGACCTTCCTTTGTCAACACTCAGCTCAAGGACCCCATGCTGTGTGAAGCTCTCCTAACCCCGCTCTGTCTGCTCTGCACCCCACACACAGTTCAGGCACAGCACCACATCCCTGAACCAGCCCGTGAAGCCACTGAGAAAGGGACCTGCATTTTTCGTGGTGTTTTCAAAACTTGCATGGTGCCCAACCCACAGCGCTTTATCACCAAGCACTTACCGGCACCATGACTCCCATACAGAGACCCGGGGCAGCATTCTTGGGTGTGCACTGAATCAGTGAGCTGCACTAGTGAGCTAAACCAGTGCCGTAGCATCTGCATCATTGCCCAGGGCCCGGGAGATGGAGACCCAGCTCTTACTTGACAAAGAACAAAGCCAAAGCCCAGACCGCACTGGGAGAGGACCCTGCTGGAGATGCTTACCTTGGGTCCTGGAAGGTCCTTTGGGCACGTGGGTTGCACCAGTTCGGGGCGTTCTTTCCCACAGCACTGAAACTAGGGAGTCAGAAAACAGCTTTTAGGACATGGAAGGGGACTAGTGGCTGCAAGTCTGGGCACTGCCACCAAGGCCCGGGGCGCCCAGTGGCAGTGGCAAAGCAGCTCGAGGCCTGGTCACCGCAACCTGGCAACCCAGACGCCTTTGTGGAGAGTGGAGAGTCACGTGACTGTGCAGGCGAAACGAGAAAATGACTTCTCTGAAGTTGTCTAAGTTTTATGATGGGAAGTGACTCAAGGCAACCCAAAGAGGCCAGGACTTAATTTCAGTGTCTGTGTAAACTGCTGTTTTTTTGGACAGGAGTTGGGCCTTTGGATTTTTTTTCTTTCAAGTCTGGGAGTAATTTAACCTGCGGAGTAGCTGGGGTTTTACGAGCTTCGGGAAGGGTTCATTAACTGGGGGCAGTCTGGGAGTGGAGAAGTGGCCACAGTAAACTCCAGGGGCTGAAGACCAGGGCTGGAAGCCTGGCCAGCAAACAGGTGTCCTGCCTTAGGGACAGTCCTTCAAAGACAAAGGAACCTGTGTGCAGCTTGATGTCCTTGGAGCAGCCGAGGCTGAGCAGGATAAATGTGTGGTGCCTCCCAGGACATTCTTCGAACAGACTAGGGCTGGGATCCCTGGAAACATCTGGCCCAGGGGCTCTGGCCTCCTTCTCTGTATCACAGTGGTTGAGAAATCCCACGACTTCAAGGAATGCCAGCCTTCCTTGATTAAGTGCATATAGCTTGCAGCAGTGCCCTGATGAGAGGACCTTCCAGAAGGAAAGGAACTGGCTGTCTCACGTACTCCTTTATTTTATAAACAAGGGGAGCCAAGTATCAAGGAGGCAAGGAACTGACTCAGGTCACAAAGCTGTACAATGGCAGAGCTGCAGCTAAGAGTGAGCTTTTCGGACTCGAAGGTCATGGTTGTGTCTGGTGCACTGCGATGCCACCCAAGGAGAGAAGCCGATAGTGTTTGGGCTACTTTCTCTGCGCCCTCATTTGTGCTCTTTTGTGTCTTTGGGGCACGTGTCCTGCCCTCCTCTCGTGGACTCTGTGTGTGGGGTGCGTCCTCCTCTGGGTTTGATGCGTGTCATGCATGGTGGTCCCCAGCAGGGCCGGACCACGGCACCGCTGCTTGACCTCACCGAACCGACTCTCAGTTATTTACTTACGTTTGAAATTTGTCAAAAAGAACATTTTGTTTCTTTCTTGGTATTTTGAAAATTAGGAGGCTAATACAATTGTAGGACCTACTATATAAAAACCAAATAAAATTTACAACAACTCTGGAAAACATAAAAAACACAGTGTTGTGCTATTATATTTTTCCAGTCTTTGTGAAATACAGCTGCTTCCTTAATACCATGGCAAATAATTAGTAGTATGCAGATAATATGTACTGATACCATATGAATTCTAGACGTCTCTTTAGGTGGGAAAACAGCATGAACAGACATTGAATAAGAAAAGCTAGATGTAATAAAATTCTTTAAGGATGCTTTTCTTTTTCTTTTTTTAAAGGATTTTTACAACAGTAAACTTACACTATTTGTATATGTACATAGGAATATATGTACACACATATATGCATATACATATATACACATTATAGCATATACTTTATAAAACATATGCAATATCCCATGCATTTTATTTTTAACCCAGGTGATCAGAGAGAACCTGGTCCGCAAGTTACATTTGGAAGACTGAATTTGAAGGAAGAAGTAAAGCTACTTACTGTGGAGTGGAAGGTAATGAGCGTCCCATTTCCCCGCCCCCTGTCTTTAAGGTAATCATTATAAGCCTCTTCATACATGGTCTGAACGTGTCGTATAGCCTGAAAAACACCAGGAAAAACGAGGTGACAGTGAGTGGAATCTGACTTCTGTTCCATTCCAGATGAGATAATCTTATACTAGAGATCTTTTTTTTTCTTTTTTAAAATCACAGTTACCTTTACAACTGTAATGAAATTTCAAACATTCTCCTTTCATCAAGGAAAACCCCCTCTTCCTTACCCTTCAAAAATGCAGTCTTTCCAATATGTTCATCTATATTTTAAGATAATTCTGCGTATGTGGAACAGATTATAGGTTCTAGGGTTTCTAAGATACTTTTGAAGATGGAAGGATAAATGAACAAGAATCATTTCCACAGACTAGAAAGATTTCTTACAGTGCAGGATCATCGAACCTTGATGCCTCGAACCTGGGGCATCAGCATCAACTGGACCCCAGGTGGCTGGGCGACCCAGGTGATTGGGATGTATGGCTGGGGTCACGACCTGTGCTTCCTGGCACCCACTGGTGAAAACAACTCAGCTCTTCCCATGACATGGTTTCAGAGGTGTTCATGACCAAGGAAGACTGTTTCCGCATTCAAATAGCACATAAAATGTGGAGAATTCCTCTACAAACATAACCAGCTACCTTAGAAAAATTCCAAAGGAGGTGGTATTTACTTATTCTACATGTTTACTACTTTTTAAAAGCCAAAATAGTTTCATAAACACAGTACTGACAGCATGCGAATTTATGTGCAACACAGTAACCCTAAGATTCCATCCTTCCTCCGTTGCCCTTTTGAAAACGCCTCTCTCTGCCACAGTGTGTTTTAAGTGTCTGAGAGGCCACTTCCTCTGTGGGTTCTCCCGATGGCCTATTCTGGACACCTACGGTCTGAGCACAGATCTAAATAAATTGGCTTCACCAGCACGCAGAGGTCAGGCTTTAGTCTTTGCGGTGACGTGGCCTCGGTCCTGGCCAAGCCCTAAGGACAAGTGGTGGTCATGAAGGATCAGAATGTACATTCTTCCCCGACCCTCTTTTTCACATCTGCAGTCTGACTTCTATTCCATTTCCAGATGGGATAATTTTATACTAGAGATCCTTTTATTTTTTAAAAAATCACAGACACCTTTATGAAGCTGGTGAAAATGACGTGCACATGTGCGCACACTCAGATGCTCAGTCCCGTCCCATTCGATACCTCTGGGTTAAGCAGTTCTGCATAGACAATATTTGTGTGGGTTCCTTGGTTTTATAACATCACTGTGAGTATGAACAGCCTCCTGTCTTTTGCCATAGCAAGAACACTTGAACCATCATACAAAGAAATTGTAAGACATTTTTACTTACTACACCCTTGCCTATGAAGGCGAACACTCCAGTGGTTACTTCAGCAGCAAATATCACCAGTAGGCAGGTGAAGAACTATAGAGAGAAGATACTAACCTCATTAATTCAGTACCTTTTTGATTTATTTAGCCTCTTTGATTCTGGTTTCATTTGAAAAACATTAGGCAAGGTTATTACTTTGAGTTGATCTAGCAGAAAGCATTTGCCCCTTAGTCCCTTGTAGTTTTCATTCATTCATTCATTCATTCACTCTTTAATTCATTGAGCAATTGTTTATTGAGCATTTACATTGTGCCAGGTACTGTCCTTGGTGCTGGGTAGATAGTGGAGAATAAGGTAAGATACCCCTGCCGCCGCTACCGTAGACCTTATATTAGAAAGGAGATGCTATGAGAAGGGAATAAAGCAAAAGTCGAGAAAAATAATTTCCGGTAGTGATATCGAAATGGTGCCCGGCACCTATACTCAACATAACACTTGCTGGACAAAAGAGGTTTTATAAAATACAAAAGAAGAGCAGGAGGCGGGGAGTGACGGCTGGGGCCTGGCTTTGGGGACGGTGTGACCTGAGGCTGCGCAGCCTGGAAGCTTCTCTGAGGAGGTGGTGGCGGAGGTGCAGGTGTTCTGAACGGATCTCTGTTCTAGTCTCTCGGGTCTGCTCTGATCTGACTAAGCTCAGCGATAAACAAGACAGAGAGGGGCTCAGCAGCAGGGGGGAGAGAGAGGAGGAAGGGCGTGTGGATGCGTTAGAGGGTGAATCAGAGTAACCGCCAAAGGCTGCATTGGGCAAGCACAGGCTGCCCATAAACCTGCTGGTTCTGGCTCCTCGCGGGGAAACACAAAAAATTCCTCCCAGTCTTCTCCCTTCTCCCCATTTCTCTTGGGTCACGCTGGCATTGGATGGATAGCAGTTCACAGAAATTATTCCATTAAAAAAAAACCAACTAAGAGGCTGCTTGTTACAATAAGCCACGGAAGGGATGTTTGGTGAAGTTTTGCCTTTTCTCCTTGATAACAGCACTGCCCTGCCTGTAGGAAGCTTCCAGCGGCCTCACCTGCCGTGAAGTAGTGTTTTTTAAAAGAACAATCCCAATCACCCCTTCCGATTGTTAGACACTTTTCCTCCCCAAATATCTTTACACTAATGACCTCATTCCCCACCCCACACCCTCCTTTGAGGCAGGCACAAAGATAATATTGTTCTTATGCAAGAGGTGGAGAAATGGAGACTCAGGGGAGCAGGTCAGTGCCAAGGCCTCGGTGGGTCCCGGAAAGGGCTGGCGTTGGAGGCTGGACATCGGGCTCCCTCCACACCAACTCCCGGGCACCCCACTTACGGATCCAAGCACGCATTGAGACTCCCGCATGGCTCCGCAGCACCCGAAGAAGCCCACGGCCATCATCAGGGCCCCTGCACCGACCAGCACGTAGAGCCCTGCAGGGAAGAGGGTGGGGTGGGGGGGACGCTGAGCACTGGCTCCATCCAGCAGGCGCTGTTCCCCCACAGCCCGGCCACAACTGCTCCGCGTCCTCAGGGAAGAACCCCAGGCTGTCAGTAATACAGCGGGTGGCCTCAGCCCGTGGAGCCTTCATTCACCCAATTTAGTCCGCACAAGGATCCTGAGAGGGAGGGCCGCTACCATCCTCGGTGCGCAAAGAACACTGGGCTTACAGAGGTGAGGGGACCCACTCCCGGGTCCCCGCCCAGCAAGGACTGGACCCGGCGTCTGTCCCACCGGGACACCCTGCCCCTGCTCTCAGCCCTTTCACAGGCCTGCTGTGGGCCGGGCCCTTCACCGTTCAGACCTCCGTGACCCCACAAGGTGGGTATCACCGCTACTGGTGTGAGCTTGATGACAGGCGTCAGGAGGGTTGGGAGAAACCACCCAGAGCTCCCAGGAGCCCCGTACCGCTTGTGGCCCTGTAGACTGAGGGCTGTCTCATCTCTGAGAGGCCACGAGGACACAGTGGGAGGGAAAGGGCGGTGCATGGGCTGCCTGGGCACAGAAGGGGAAGCAGCGGGAAAGTGGGACAAGAGGCTTTTGGTTAAGGAGCAGGCAGGACACAGCGATGAGGTCTTGTGTGAACTATCGACTTTGGAGGCCACACCACATACAGTGGACCCCCGAGGGCGGGGGCTACAAGAACAGCGGGGGTGGGGAAGTAATCTACACCAAATAATGCTATTATTCATATACCATTAACTACATTTATTAAGGCCTTATTTTCTCCAGGCACTGTTCTGAGCACCTAGCACAGATTTATTCACTTACTCTTCAAGAAGACGGACCATCTCCACTTTTTAAAGGTGGAAGAACCGTCTAAAAGGTTAAACACTTTGCCCAAGCTCATAGAGCTGGATACAAATAGCCATCTGCCTTCATTCCCAGCCTGCTCATGGTCACGTTCCTATCTGGCCTCGCCAGCAATGACAGCAGCCTGGACTCCGGTGGGACTTTCTCGAACTACCTAAGTCAAGCCACAGGACGGGGACAGTCTTCACAGAGAAAGAAAAGGACAGAAATGTTCTCGTTCTGACAGGGAGAAAGCCAAGTCTTTCCTTATTTCCTCCTCTGATCCTGAGATAAGTCAGAACACAATACAAGGCCTGGCACTTGACTTGCCTAGAAAAATGCCAGTCGCCTCTATTTTATTTTTTTGCATTTTATTCACATGAGTCACTTGGAAACCACTCCCAGTGGCAGCCAGGGTGGGGAGCCGGGTGCCACCTCTGTGGGGAAGCCCTGAGCCTGGCCTGCAGGTGCCTCCGGGGGCCCCATGGGTGCCTCTGGTGGTTTGTGGGCAGATCCGATCTGCGCCCGACAGAGGTGGGGCGCGGCCCAGGCTGCCCTGCTTCCTGCTCAGAGCCTCCTCGGGGCCGGGGAAGCCCTGGGTTCTGCTCTCCTGAGGCAGGTACTTCTTCATTTCCAGCTCTGCTGGCCCTGCCGCTTCCTCCCCTCCCCTTTCCTCTAAAAAAGCAGTTTTATGGGGAATGGACGTGGGAATGAGAGAAATGATATTTAAATAATGTCATTTATTTAACTGTTGGCCCCACTGCCTAAACATCTTATGGTTTTTAAAAATTAAATTTTCAAAACTATCATCTCTGGGCTCCTCAGAACAGCCCCAAAAGCAAGGCAAGTGATACATTTTTGTTTTGCTAATGAGGTCAAGGAAGCGAGATGGCAACAGGCAGGATGTAGAGGCCTGGAGCCTGGTTCCCACCCCACGGGCTGCAGGGCAGCCACACAGCGTCCTACTCAGTCAGTTCCTGGAAGAACAGCCAGAGGGCGGACACCCTGCTGTATCGATCGCCTGCTTACAACCTTCGTCGCCTCCCCACCATGCGCCCCCTCCGAGTCCTTCTCCATCCTGCACTCCAGCCGCCTGAGGATTCTCGGGGGTCTAACCTGGCCTGCTCTTTTCCATGTTGTGCATTTGCAGGTTCTTGTATGTGTCTTCCCCTGTAGATGTTAATCCACAAACAAGCCTTATCATCCCACCTAGAATATGCCCAGCACATGGCAGAATTCTCAATCAGTGTTGCTGGACGTGAGGATTAAGAGAGATCAAATCAGACCTCACCTCCGGATGGGCTGTCTGCCACGGTTCCTTGTGGCTTAGTGACAACGTGCTGGAAACACATCCCAGTAGACGTCAAAGAAGCCACTGCAGGGCTGGGTTCTCCCAAGGTCAAGTAGATGGGAAAGGGCCCCAGAGAGTCAAATATAGGGAGGAGGGGGCAGTAGACAGAGGTGCTGGGGCCTCAGGAGGCCAGGGCGCTCCCCCTGGGAACAAGTACACTCAGTCCCAAGCACGTGCGCCCATACGTACAACACTCCATCCTTTGGCCATCAGAACCCAAGCTCACAACAATACACCCTGCAACCGGCCCTGGATCGGCCAGGCAGGCCCAACCCCTGAGGCCTCACCTTAGCAAACCTCTGTGTGTATTTGGGCCACAGCACTCAGCCCACACCCATGAGCCCTGCTGGTTGGAGCTGAAGGGAAAATCAGGAGAAGCTCAACAAGTAGCAAAATTCCTGGGCCTGCTGAATCCTGTTCCCAAATCTAGTTATAAGACTCAGCACACCCTGTGGCGTCTATGGATACCTTACCCTTTTCTGATTGGTCCCCTAAAGGAGCTGTTAAATGGATGAATACATTGACTGAGCGTCACATTTTAATTCCTAGATGGCTCTGCGGAGCCCTCTCCCTCCCACAACAGCCTGCGTGACAAGTGTCTGACCTATTTCCCAACTCCCCATGCTCTCCGAGTCCTAGTTCCCTTGACTGGAAAAGAGAGAAACCACTTTGAAACTGCATTTTTATTACAGCTGGGCCTTGAGATGCCAGTGAGCCCAGGGACAGGCTACCAGGAATTCCTGACAATTCCGTCACTTGCTTCTTAGGTTTCAGATCCTTCTTTGTAAGTCAGAAGCCTCTTTTCAGTTGACACAGAAAGGAGTCGCAGCAACCTCCTCGAAGCCTTGTCTGCGTCGACTCGGTTGGAAACGGCTCCCCCTTTTACTGACCGGCCGGAGGATGGCGTGGTCCTCAGTTTTAATGGCTTTGTGGCAGCAGATGGGTTTACATACCTGGCTAATGACTATTTTTCATCTAAAAATCATTTTCTATGCCTCTGCAGCTCTCCCTCCCTCCCTCCCAGCTTGCCCAGGACGCACATAATTATATGTGTGTCTAGAATATTGGATGGGGACTTAGTTTATGGGAAGGTAAAGGTCTTGGGTTCTCTCTCCTAACAACTATCAGGGATTGAGTCAGGCAACACGAAGTGCGACCACCGCTGCTTCCTGGGCCTCGGCCTGCTCTGTGTGGCCTCCGGTCTGTGCAGTGGGCGGGAACCTGCCACAGGACAAGCAGGGCTGTCGGCCATTCTCTCATTCCGACTGCCTGGCATCTAACCTCCCCCTGCAGTCTTCTGTCTCGTGTTTGCTCCTGCGTCCCACAGGGTGACTGCCTCCTCCGCCTGCCCCATCACAGTAATAACCACAGTGGGTATTTATCCAGGGCTCATTACGCAGCAGGTACTGTGCACAGGTATATTTGTAGGTTACATCATCTCCTGCTCCCATTGCCCTACGAGGTTCAGAGAAGGATTTGTATTTCACAGCTGCGGAGTCTGCGACACAGAGAAGTTAGGTAATTTCCCTCAGACTGCACAGCGAGTGAGGGGCGAGCTGGACCTGTGCCGGGGGCGGTGGGGAGAGTAGGGGGAAGGCGACTGCACGGTGCGCACCCTCCCTCCCGTGCTGCGCTTTCCATAGGAGCTCTGAAGAGTGGTGACTGTCTCAGCTCCAAATCTGTTGATTTTATAATTTATAAATGGCAGGGAAAGAAGCTTTGCGGAGGCGGGTCTACCCTTGATGATTTGTGGATTTTCCTATAGAAGTACAGAGCTGGGAGCCAGGAATCCAGGCCTGCCAACTGAGGCTCTGGGTAAACCTCTTATTCCTCAGTTTTGTTATCTGCGGTATGTCCATGGTGATCTACTCTAACTTCCTGTCAAAATGCCTAGAGAAGTTGTGCCAACGATGTCAGCTATAGCCCGTCTCTGTTATGCGGCTACCACGACTCTCGGGTACAACTGAAAACCCAGAAGTAAAAAAAGAAATAACATCACCAGAGTGAGTCAGAGTGTTGAAAAAGGCAAGCCAGCCCCTCAACACGCAGCCCTGAAATGCCTTCCTTACATGACATCCAGCCTCCGTGCGAGCCAGGGTCCTCCACTCCGGATTCAAGTCTGGATTCAACAGGGTCTCGGCCAGGGACCCTGCAGAGCCAGGCGGCTGCTGTTTGTGTGGGCAACCCCTCCGTGGAATAACCTGCTAACGTCCTCTGCTCAGACATGACTTCATGTGCTTGGGCCTGCCAGGGGCTGAGGGCATCACTCCCCAGGAGCACTCCTGGGGGGAGATGACCCCTGAAGGGTCTGTCCCTCTGGGAGGCAGCCCCAGACACGGATGGTACCAGGAGGCCAGAGGGGCAGGTTGGTGGAATTTGGAGGACACTGGGGGCTCCTCCCAAGAGTTCACAGAGAGCTGGAAGCAGAAATGGTCTAGGAAACACCAGGTCACTCAAGTCTCTCTTGCCACGGGCTCCACCCTGGCCAGGTTCTCTTTTCTCCGTGTTAGCAGCCAGTGCACACAGACTAGCCTGCAGGCCTCGGCCTGGGCTCATGGGTCCTGGGGAAGCGGCAGCAGGCAGCAGTCTGTCTGTCTCACTACCTACCCTCATTCTCGACCCCCTCACGGCTGGATTCACTCGGCCTGTCCCCTGGTGGTGAAGTCATGCCCAGGCCTTTATCCCAAAAAGGGACCTTCTGTCCATCAGCAAAGAGGAAGAACCAAGGGTCCCAGAAAGGAAAGCACCCCCCAAAGGTGGCGGGGCTTCTCCTACACTGTGTGGCGGTGA